ATAAAAATTGAAAATATTTTTTATGAATACTTTATTAAAATATATCTTTGTGTTAATAATATAAATATTTATTTGTCTTATATGTTTATTTTTTCGTATTTGATATAAAAAAATCTATTACAAAAAATTTTTAATTTCACTTTTCTTAAGTTTTCTTCCCGTTACTCGAAATCGATGAATACTAACCCCTGTGAAAACATAAGGAAAAGAGAAATGGATGTATCGATCTCACCCCTAGGGACTTGCTAGGATTAGGATATCACGGTAGCCACCCACGACGAACTATGAAACACCATGCAATAGCGGAAAAATCTTTTAACATTTAGTAATATTATTTACATTTTCTTTTAACATTTAGTAATATTAGTGCCACATAAAATCTTGTGAATTAATATTTTTTTAAAGAATCTAAATCGATAATTTTTAATAATTTTACATATTTCAATTAAAATTTATTTTGATACACAATGAAATTATTGGAACATGTTGTTTTGAATATTGTAATTATTATAATAAATTATAAAAATTATTATATAATTTACTATAACATATCAAATAAGATATCTTTATAATGAATAAAATAATAAAATAATAATATATAAAAAAAAATAAATATATAATATATAAAAAAAAAATATATATTTCTAAAATTAATTATCTTTTTCTTTAATTTTAATAAACTATTTTTTATTAATAACAATAATGAAAGATGTATTCAATATATTAAATTCTATACAAAATCGTATTGTTTTAATATTAATAATTAATATTTGTATATCATTATTTGATATATACATTTATATCAAAAATACTCAATAACTAATATATACTAATATATACAATTTTTAGAAATAATATTATATTATCAAGATAATATTAATTTTGAGAAAAATGTAAATTAATAATAATACCTATAATTTCGTTCATCTTTGAGGTACCAATCTAATGATGCAACATATCACCCTTAACTTGCACCCTTTGCGTCACACCCATCCTGTTTCCGCATACCACATGCCCTCAACCTATATCTGTCTCTTAGGTCATTGATCTGCAAGGATTCTATGCGATATATATATATATATATATATATATATA